TATGTGTGTGTGTGTGTGTGTGCGTATATATATATACACACATATATATATATATATATATGTGTGTGTGAGATTTGGTCTAGTTCTATTAATATAACTATATTTACTTTCCAAATCTATTTATATCTGAATACTTCGGTAGCGAGATGTCTCAACCGCACATAGGTTTCTAAGGACTATTAGCGTTGCTTAGTTTATCCTCCGTTCAACCAACCAGATGTGCCAGTCTGATGAAGGCTAAGTCGGTAATTCTTGATAAGTGGCAAGTTATTGGTTAGTGCAATAACTATGGTCATCAAGAGTATTTTTCTTTTTTTCTTTTCTTTTTTTCTTCTAAAGATAGGATTTTATGAATCTCTCGGATTCGCCCCAACGAAACATACCATAGTTTTTAATAGAGCGTCAACGAAACACTAAATAAAATCCCTTCGGCGAAAAAAGTACTGAGAGGATTATATATAGGCAATGTCTCAGCCTCACAATCCCTCAGAGTATTGCTGTTTTCACGATTCATACCTAACTTTACCAAAAGACTCATTTCGTCTATTTACTTCGAATTTCACGATACTTAGACTTAACCTAAGCGTTTAATTACTCTAAGGCGTTAATATCGCCTTGATAGACCGAATCTTACACATTTTAAAGTTAGCAAAGGTATTAACTACTTAGACTACTTGAACGTAAAGGTAGATAACTACCACGAAATTGTTCCTAAGCACAGTCATTCCTTGAGAAAAAAAGACTGAAGTCATAAGTTAAGATTATGACAAAGAAAGAAAATACACCTGCAAAGAAACGCAAGGCTGAACGTAAGACGATGGAGAGGGAAGCCGCTAGCGCTGCCGCAGCTACTGCTGCCACAGAAGCAACCGCCGCTGCTGCCGATGCGTTTAACCGCACCGTAGCCGAGGCACTTGACTCCGACAATAATAGTCAACAGGACAACACCTCGGATAAGGATGTAGCCACTCCGATTAAGGAGACTACTCCTACAGATAGAGCCCGAGGGCCAACTATTGCCTCAACTTCGAAGCTTGCATTTACGAAGCCAAGAAGTGAGACAAGGGACACGTCTCAAGACGCCCTAGCCAATTCTTCTGACGAAACTCAGAAAGAAAAGTCCCCAATTATAGGGGACGAATCATAGAAGGTACCTATACCGGAACCAGAAGAGGAGGTAAGCTCAAGTGGCAAAAATCTACGTCCGAGACCACTGGACCAACGCGCATAAGTAAGTTAATTACTGAAAATACTGATCCTAAGAATCAGTTAGCCGCCCTTATGAAAGGCATGACTGTTGAACATGTAGATCGAATGTATAGATCAGGAAAACATACACGGCACTTACGCGAGCATGTTTCTCCGGGCATTACTGAAGCCCTACAGAAGTGGACAGAACGTCGGCAGTCAATTACGCCCGAAAAGAGTAAAGGCCTGAGCGCTCACCTGCGGCAGATGAGCCAGATGTGCTCAGTGTATCTATACCTTACGAGGTACTACCACCAGAACTCCAAGCTAATTATTCGCCTGTTCTAACGCCCGGCCATGAGTCGCCCGTCCTTGAGGGTATTGTACACCCATAGGCAGGTAAAAATACCCCGCCACCTTTACCCAACTGGGATGACAATCGTCGGAAACCAGTTAAGACTGGGTATGTTATCCAGACGCATGAATCACCTAAGATTAGAATACCAACTACTATCCAAGAAACAGAGCACCGAAAGGCCTCGACCATGGACTTTACAAGGGGTAATAAAAACTCCCGTAATCGTGTTAACGAAGTCGAATTTAATCGCTTCGATCGCATAGCATTACATCAGCCCGCAGAGGATTTCCACTCTGACGAGGTGACCGAACTTAATAAATCGGTCGACGATTACACCATTAAGGTGGAAATCGCCCATGACGAGCAACGTGCTGATGACGTATCATATTTTGCTAATATGATCGCGATCAAGCAGAAGCGCATCGATCAGCTTTTTTAGGCCCAACGTGGGCAAGACCACCGGGATAACCAGAAGTACAAGGGACAGATCAGTCGACTTAAGTCGAACTGGGATGCCAACAGCAAGCAGATCGAGTTTATAAACAACCATGACCTCGACATACTAACCCGTACGCTTAATGCGTTTACGGTCATGCTGGAGACGAATGATATCGCTCCTCAGCAATGGATTTCCGCTTTAATGCAGTCGTTTGACCCTACAGGAACAAGTTACTTGATCCTGCAACGACACCGGCATGAGCTAGACACTTGTCGTGACTGGCCAGCTGTGTGTTGGTTGGTTACGTCCTTATTAAGCAAGGACATGTGAAGTCCAGGACTGAGTTCAATCTTAACTGAACCAGTTGAGAATACTCCTATTCAGAGTTACATTCTGAAACTTGATGCTGACCTTAAGCGTCCAGATATAACAAAGGACAAGGCACAGCGTTGGTACGAGTTCTTGGTTATGCATGTTTTCTGTAAGAACACAGGGAACAACGACCGTGAAAGTCTATACACCGAGTTGTGACGTAAATACGCAACTGAGGCTCGAGACAAGAGACATGAAACAAAGTTTTATCTATCCCGACTTACGTGGGAACAGTTTTATGATACTGTATCCACTCTTTTCCCCGCACACCGAGCAACCTCGAAAGGAAAGGCGGTAAATAAGAAACCACGCGAGCTCGCTGATCAAGGATACCTCTCACGCCAGACGTCAGATGATAAACCTCATCAGACGCGTCTTAACCAGACACGTGCTCGCGACTCCACTCAATCAACGCGACCCAATAAACGGGCACGCGGAGGCGAAGGACAAGGAACCTTCATCGAAGGATATTAAGAAATGTGCCGACGCACAGTGTGGGTATGACGCGTACCAATTGACCCCTAACGGCTATTGGAATGGCAGACATGCACCCACCTGTACACACTTTCTTACTAAGTGTGACAAGTGTGAGAAGACCAATGACTATCACGCCAAGTCTTGTGACAAAAAGCCCGACATTAAGTTGGAGTGAAAGTACTACCAGGTACAATCGTTACAAAGGAAATACAACGACTCTTTAGACGAGCGTGTAATAATACCTGTATGTTGCAATGTAAATAAAGTCCTTACATTGATTGATCCTGGTTCAGAAATTTCATGTATATCCGACTGCTTTGCATCAATGAAAGACATTGAAAGGAGAACACAAACAACTCACCTCATTTTAGTAGATGATAAAACTTCTACGTGTGATACCATGGCCACAGATGTTAAAATCTCCCTGGCCGATGATAGAAATATCACTACCCAAGCTGTGATAAGATGTCACAGGAGTATGACTTAATAGGCGGAATGAGTGATTTACTCACTTTAGGTATAACCGTCACTGGTTTACCAAATAACATAGATCCATTAAAGGATCAATCAGACGATAACTGTCTGAAACCATATAAGCCCCCGTCAGACACAGTCAAGGCATTAATACCTGACTTTGCGGACAAAATCATGGATCTGATTCTAGTAAATAAGAAGATAAAGATCACATCCGTTTTAACGACGGATATGACAGCCTTGACTTAACCAGGGTAGACTTTACTAAGCTCAAATGCCCTACAAGAAACTATGTTTCTTGGAGACACGCAGCTGTAGTTAAAGAACAAGTTGAGAAATGGTTATCCGATGAGGTAATCGAAATCAATTACCCACAAACACCAGTTAACTTAGCATTATTGGCAGTTGATCAACACAACTCTGACGGAACATTTCAGAAAGTCAGAGTATGTCTAGATATGAGTCCAATAATTAAGTTATTGCCGACTCATAGTTTCCATCTACCTCGTATAAACGAGTTACTGAGACGAATGGAAGGTGCTACGGTGTTTACATCCATAGACCTAACACAGGGGTATCATCATCGTAAGTACTTTAGTTTTCCCTGGAAAGGTAAACAATACAGGTTTAGAGGGGCACCTTTCGGGTTGCACTCCTTACCAGCATTCTTCCAACAAGTAATGGAGAAATGTTCGCAGACATGCCTAACTTTTCTAAGACTAAGGGCGAACATGCCGCATTAGTCAGGCGAGTCCTTCAGAGACTCAACGAACAAAACTTCAAGAATAACGAGAAGAAATATCACTTTGCCATGAGCGAAATACAATTCTTAGACTACCGTATATCTGAGGAAGGTATTAAAATCGACCCCGGTAAGGTGGAACACCTGTTAGATAGGCGAACACCAAATACAGGAAGAGATGTGAACAGCATGTGTGGGTTTGTAAACTTCTTTTCAGATGGAGTACCACATTTGGCTGATTATCTTAAACCCTTTGGACACTTAAGATGTCATAAAGGCAAACTAGGAGACTTGTGGACTAAAGAGTGTGATGACGCATTTAAAGCGCTCAAGCACGCAGTCCAACAAGCCCCTGTTGTACAAGGACCAGTCGATGGCGTGCCTTTTGAAATAGCAACGGACGCATCAGACTTAGCACTCGGAGGTGTACTATACCAGGTTATAGATAATAAACCTAGGTATATACAATTCTTTAGCCGAGCAATGAATGCATCACAGTTGAATTATCCAACTGTGAAGCAAGAGCTACTAGCCATAGTAGCAGCTTTAACACACTTCCGCGATTACTTATACGGAACAGCTTTTACGCTGATGTGTGATCAGAAGTCCCTTCAATATATGAAGGAAATGAAGCCCGACTCTTAATTACTGAGCCGATGGCTTGATACAATATCAAAGTTTCATTTGATATCGAACATCTACCAGGGATACATAACCATTTACCGGATATGTTATCACGCTTTGTACCGGACTGTAATAAATCCGTACGTGAGTTACTAGCCACTGATTGGAAATGTAACCCCAGGTGGTTTGAACTGGCTCAAAAGGTATTTGGGCCACATACAGTTGACATGTTTGCTGCACATCATAATGCACAACTTAAGAATTACAGGACTTTAAATCATCCTATAGGAGATGCCTTCCAACTAGACCTCTCCGAACATAATGCGTGGGCTAGTCCACCATGGCAGTTAATTGCCCAATTACTAAATTATGTTCATATACACAAAGCTACCATCACGTTGTGTTGCCCATTACGGAGTAAAAATTCCATGGCTCAATATATTAATAAGCATGTTACAATGCGAGCCAATATATTTAGATAGGGAAGTAGATACTTTCCTATATCAGGGTGCCCGAGCCGTCCAGAAGACACCCTGGAGACATACTATAATATGTCGTATAGGATTCTGAGACCTTCCTTAACAAGGTCAAAGAATCAGAGATTCCACTCTCTACTAAATTGAACGTTAAGCAGTTCAAAGGCAACACAGCACTTGAAGTCTGTGCACAAGAAATACAATCTACTAATGACACTACAGTCAAGAAGCGTCAGTCTCTAGCTAGGACTCTGTTTAATAACATAAAGTCCAAGCCTGAAGTCTTTCAACCCCTATTTTTAAAGGGATTAATGAAAGATAATCCTGAAGCATATACACATATAATGCGACTATTAAATAAGTCAGGTGTATCAAACGCACACGAGCGCTTAAAATCGAAAGAAGGACAGGAGTCTGGAAACACTACAGACTTAGAGACCACGCAAGTGAATTCTCAACACCCTACCTTTATTCTGGAGGAGCAGAATGATAAAAACATTCTTGCTTGGCTGACGCAAAACCATAAGCTGAAACACCAGAACGTAGTAGACGCACTTAAAGATGCTAAGCGAAATGGGATCGCGCACCCTAAGCTGGCAACTTTAGTTGACAGAGTATATCAGTCATGTACAGACTGTGATCTCAACCAGATTAAGCGCTATGGGTTCGCACCGCTTAAGAGTGTGACTGAAGATGTTCCATGGCGCAGGGCCATCATTGATCTGGTTGACCTGCCTACGTCCGAGCACACAGGCGACCGCTACGTATCACGAAAGGTAGGGAGTCGCACCCCTAAGCTGGCAACTTTAGTTGACAGAGTATATCAGTCATGTACAGACTGTGATCTCAACCAGATTAAGCGCTATGGGTTCGCACCGCTTAAGAGTGTGACTGAAGATGTTCCATGGCGCAGGGCCATCATTGATCTGGTTGACCTGCCTACGTCCGAGCACACAGGCGACCGCTACGTATGCCACCTTGGCTGACGCAAAACCATAAGCTGAAGCACCAGAACGTAGTAGATGCACTTAAAGATGCTAAGCGAAATGGGATCGCACCCTAAGCTGGCAACTTTAGTTGACAGAGTATATCAGTCATGTACAGACTGTGATCTCAACCAGATTAAGCGCTATGGGTTCGCACCGCTTAAGAATGTGACTGAAGATGTTCCATGGCGTAGGGGTCATCATTGGCCACTTCTTTGATGTGGCGTCACGGTATAACTTGCTCTATTCTTTAAAGGACAAGAGTACGCAGACCATGGCAGAATTATGTTGCCAAGTCTTTGCTGACCACGGGTGGTCAGGTATAATGTGCACTGATAACGGTAGCGAGTTCTGCGATGACGTAATGGAATCGTTAGTACTCGTATCAGGCATGTGTCATAAAAGGGTGTACCATATAAACCGCAAACACAAGGCGCGAATGAAACGCGCCATAAAAGACTTAAGTTCTTCTTACGTACTGCATTAACGGATGATGCAGATGATTGGCCGTACCACCTTAAGTGGGTACAAACACAGATGAACGAGTGTGCTGATCCGGTTACAGGTACAACACCCGCTCACTATTGTCGTGGCAGATATAGTGAGTTAAAAATACCTTTTAACAAGGACGAACCTAGTCACCATGAGTTACCATGGTTAGAGAAGGTATAACGTATTTACAACGGTGTATGTCTTTGCTTGCGAGAAACACGCAATATTGCCTTATTAAAAAGGCAAAATAGACGGAATGCTACCAAAAAGATAGCAGAGTATCAGTTTGGAGACAGAGTTAACATCCGTCAACGTATTTCCGATGCTACTGTATTAACATCTAAATGGATATGACCATATATAATCTCTGTAGCTGACGTTAAAAGTAGAACCTATGAGGTTAATAACCCCGACGGTTCCAGTGCTTTAAATATAGGCACTAGTCGGATTCCGACTACTGAGATTTTTCTCGCAAGAAGACATGACTCTAATGCCCCTCTTGATCGTTCTGAATTTAAAGACATTATTTGGAGAACGTATAAGGGAGGCTATACATGCTATCGTACAGGCTTTATAGACGGTACAATTGCTGAGTTGACTTCAGATGCTTTCGATAATCAAGACTATTTAAAAGCCTTTAATCGAAAATGGCGTAAACGCCTGCATAAGTCACAAGCTGAAAAAGATAGCATGTTTCCATCCCCTTCATATGTGCTTAAGACACTGAAGCGTAAGAAACGTCCAGACGACCACCACGGACCTACTGGACCTAAGCCCAAAACTCATAGGGTAACCGAGAACGCTTCACTTCTCCGCCTGAGAAACATTAACTATACGTTATGCTACTTAATGTTTTCGACCCGTTTTTCCTTCTCGCATTGTAAATCCAAAACCGGCTTGAGTGAGCAACTAGTCTCTCTTGGATCCCGAAGCTGGGTGGGGGCTGTGTAATAGCCGGGCTTCCACATTAGACTCTATGTTATAAACGTACTCTTAAGCAGTACGTAAACTATAAACGTACTCTTAATAGTACGAGGAACTCAAGTTTCCTAAATGGGGTTTAACGGTTTTATTAATTAATACCTTTTCCATTTTACATATCAGATATTTGGACAAGGCCATTAAAAGGCCCCAGTAAAATACCAAACATAAGATTTAGTCTAGTTCTATTAATAGAACTATATTTACTTTCCAAATCTATTTATATCTGAATACTTCGGTAGCGAGATGGCTCAACCGAACATAGGTTTCTAGGCACTATTAGCGTTGCTTAGTTTATCCGCCGTTCAGCCAACCAGATGTGCCAGTCTGATGAAGGCTAAGTCGGTAATTCTTGTTAAGTGGCAAGTTATTGGTTAGTGCAATAACTATGGATATCAGGAATATTTAAATTTTTCATTTTCATTTTTTTCAAGATAGGATTTTATGAGTCTCTCGGATTCGCCCCAACGAAACATACCATAGTTTTTAATAGAGCGACAACGAAACACTAAATAAAATCCCTTCGACGACAACAGTACTGAGAGTATTATATATAGCCAATGTCTCAGCCTCACAATCGTTCAGAGTATTGCTGTTTTCACGAGACATACATAACTTTACTGAAAGACTCATTTCGTTTATTTATTTCGAATTTCACTATACTTAGACTTAACCTAAGCGTTTAATTACTCAATGGCGTTAATATCGCTTTGATAGACCAAAACTTACAGAGGACATTCTTCATTTTGCCGCTGGGTTGGGGGGTATCTGGGGAGTTTATTGCCGCAGGCAAGTATCATGGCTTCCGTGTTTCTGGTGAAAGTAGAATCACCATCTGTAAGCAGGGTGTGAGTCTTTCATTGACGAGGGATGCGGATAAGTAGAGCTTTGATAAGTTCATTCATGTGTCTTGTCAATACGGTCGCTGTGATGGCGGTGTCTACTACCAGCATCGACTATGTTCAACGCATAACAATTTCCGTATCGGTCGGCAGGCATCGGATCTTAGAGATCAAAGCTGAGCTGTTTTCCTGGAATACCGTAGGCTGTGGGAGATGTAGAGTGAGACAATACCTTGGTTGCCCTGATCTTGCCCGAAGGGCAGTGTTTAAGCAGGGTGTACCGTGGCGTATCAGATGGCAGCCTTAAAATTGTCGTCAGGGATGATTGTGGTGTGGAGGGGGCCTATTAAGGCTACAAGGATGAACATTCATGAGAGCTTACCCACGGCAACCGTGCCGTGGTGTTTGAAGTGAAGGATGGGCTGTGGATTATGTACGGGGGGCATTGTATGGGGGCAATAAACTTGTTCCACCACGCTGCACATGGGCGTAGTGGTACTACTAATGCCAGTTGGACACCCATTGTGACAACGGTGTCCAGAAGCTCTGAGGTAAGAGGTGGACCTTACGTCAGTCGGTAGTGATACCACCACAAGAATCTAGTGAGCTGGTCAGTTTTGGTTGAGGCAAAAAGGTCCAAGGTGAGGACGTAGTTGAGATAGTTCGTGGCCTGTAAAAAATACGCGCGATTCAGCATCAACTCTTCTGTATCCCCGCCCGGTGAATGGGGCGGAATGAGTGTGACATTATCTCTGGCGGCCACTCTGAGGGTGGTCGTGCGGCTGCGGTGGCCGAAAGTGCGGTAATAGGCATCGTATGTCTGATTAAGGTGTGTTGTATGATGCATCGGCGATCGGGAAAGTAGTAAGTGGAGCTACTGTGGGGGGTATAGAGGGTGGTGCTACGGGAGTGAGAGGTTGCGTTGAGATTGGGGCGACTGTGGGGTCGGGTATCAACTGTAGGAGACCGAGTGCATGGTGGCGGACTAGTGGGGGTTGTGGAGGCCCTGAGGCTGCGCGCTGCTGCTGGTGGTTGTGCTAAAGCTAGGAGTTGGTCGTAGTAGAGACGGTAGCCACCCTGTGTACGTGAGAGAGCCAAGTGAACTGGTGCCATAGTGGAGGTGATAAGTCTACATGCTTGTTAACTGGGAATTGGAGGGTAAATACAGCATCTTGGAGTTGGTTCTGGGAAACTAGTTGTTGCTGAATACTATCGCTCAGCGATGTATATGCTTACGGTGCGAATATGACGTGTACTTTCGTTCGCAAGTAATATGATGAAAGACCCATGTTCCAGGTTCTTGAGGGGATGCTACATAGAATATAGTGTAGAGTAAATACAGGGGGGCTCCGCCATCATTAAGTAGTTGATATTTTGGGTGGGTCGGAGCGGACGGGCTGAGTTTAGCAAGTTTAGGAAACACATAAGGAAAACAAAAAGAAAGTTGGTTCTTTTGGAGCAAACTGTATCAATATGGTTTAGTCTAAAGCAAACACTGCAGGAGAGACTAGTGGCTGTATACTTGGTGCAGGCGTGACCTTTCTGGGTGCATTTTCCACATGCACGGGAGCAAGCATTTGCCCTGTGGAAATCTTCGCATCACACAAAGCAGGGGATCGGACCCCGGAGTGCGCGGTTGGTAGATGTTCACAGATGTTCAAGCTCATCATTGTGTTGGAGAAGTGGGGCTAGCAAGGGCTCGGTGGTAGTGGCTTTGGATCCCTGTGAGCCTGAGATAGAGGCAGTAACCGCGACTGTACGTGCGACAAACAGGGGCCACAGGATTGATCCGGTGCCACACCTCAATCTGTTCGCACATATGGATGGGTGATACGGACAGTCTGTCGCAGTGGTTGATGAGATAGTGATTCACTATTTCCTTTTCAGCGTTTCCTGGGCCGGTAAGGAACATCTCCTGGATGAAGATCGGTGATAAGATGGTCTTCTGGAGCTCAGCTTCACGTACGACCAGTGATACCCGTTTAGATCAGACTCTGATGGTATCATCATCATTTTGCTTGAAGTTCTGAAGAAACGCTTAAGAAAATGGTGTTGGATTTCTCGGAGGACGTGTGTCGGTATATTTTGCGGAGGTACATAGAATAGAAGTGCCATTAGGTGTGGTCCTATTCAGTTCGAGAGAGGTGAGGACAAAATCGAACAAGGAAATGAAGCTCTAGACCCAAAACTCTAAAACCCTTTGTAAAATCTCAGGAGGGTTTTAGGGTTTAGGGTTCTGGCCCCTAGTCTCTAGAGTCCTAGCCCCAAAATCCGGTTTTTGGATCTTGGTGTATTACCAGGGAATAAGCCAACGCAACAGCAATGGCAATAGTAGCCTTCTGATGTGAGTTATGTCCCGAGTCCTCTCTAGAAATTGGACTGGGTCAATATATTAGGATGTTCTAATTTCGCCTTTTCCTGATTTCTCATCATCACGATGACTGGACAAGTAAGAGTATAGATCAAATCACTTTTTTAACGAGATCTGGGGAGATGGGGAGATATGAGATGTGTACGCGCAGATATATATATTAAAGTGTATGCGGTGTAGTCTCTGTAGTGTACACAAATAAACGCTCTCGACTAGACAGTCGAGTCTGCATATAGAGTGATCTAGGTATACCTTATCGTGGATTTAGTCTTGATAACTCTAGCGCCTCGCATCACATTGCTAACTCTCAACATAATAAAGTATCATCACAAAGGCACTTGAAGTAGTGTAATACAACTGCACGTATATATATATATATATATATATATATATATATATATATATATATATTTATACCTTTGTAATCACATTGTATATCAAAATTCGGCAGGTCCGTACTCCGTAGTTGAAAGCTTATTCGATAAGTATAGCTTAATCAAAAAAGAAAATCTAATCAGTAAATCGATATAGTGTATTAAACATACATTCATTCAAATCGATATACGCATGATATACAATCAATATACGTCCGATATAGTGTAGTATATACACATATACTCATTTGAACAGCCATAGTGTATCAAGTACACATTCAATCAGAAGAAATATATTGTAGTATATATATATAAGGTTGTGCTCCTTCGAGGTAGAACAGATGTCGTCCTATTCCAGCACCTCATCGATTGGGAAATCGCCCGGGCGTCCACGACGTATGTGCGCTCCTGTTCAATTGTTATGTTTGCGCTTGTAATGATACTGATTCTTCATTCCTGCTGTTGTATAGATACACGGGTACATGTATGGATGCACACGCATGTCCTGTACACGAGAGTGCACGCTTGCCATGTACGCGAGAGTATTAAGGACAGTCATTGTACTGCCTCATATACTTCCTATAGACAAACTGCACTTGTGGTCTCTACATAGCATATGGATATACATTGTGCATATACTGTGTATACGTAGCAATCAATAAACATGCAGACACTTCACCTGTAATGCGTGCATGTACATTTACACGTCTCGATTTGTTTTGCTATGGATATATGATAAATGAATCACGCATGCAACCAACGAGCACAGATGGTACACACACGAGTGTCAGGAACAAGCACAGCCACTACATATATACTATTGCAAAAGCTGTATTTGTATATCTACATTTACCAAATGAGGATGTTGAGCATGTGAGATTGATGTTTATATACATGTTTGTTTATAGCTTGGATCTAAAAAACATAGCAACACTCACGTTACCACCAAACACTCCTTCTATTCCTACACCATTCGTTCATTATTTACAGACTGAACATATACTTCGTATAAATACATACATATACGGATACATACGTATACGTATACACACAAACAACCACACACACACACCACAAACAAACACACACACACAGAGACACACACACACGACACACACACACACACACACACACACACACACACACACA